GCCGGCGGCGCGTGCGCAGTGGGTGTTGAAATGGTCTTCCGCGCTTAAGGCTCCAGCAGAGCTCGTCCTGTGCTAGAGCGCGCGGTGGAGCCGCTCCCGCAGGGGCGTAAAGTATTAAGGCGGAGAGGATGTCCCGCTAGCGGGTCACCTGTGCCCAAGGCTGTAAGGGTGGCTCCAGTTCGTTTCCATCCCTCCCTTTCCGCAGCTCTGAGGCTGAAAAGCCACTCGCTCCTTGCCCCACCTCTGCAGATCGGGAGGGAGCTCTGGTCCAAGGTACCCGGGCCAGGCCCCAGCAGCCGTCCCCGCTGGTCGCAGCCCAGGGCTCTGAACACCGCGCCCCGGGCACACCCGAAATCCCGCCCTGGCGCCTCATCCCCGGCCCCGCTGCCGCCTGCGCAGAGAATCTCTGCGGTAACCTGCCTCGCTCCGGCTGGAACCTTCGCCATCGCCCCTCCCGGTCCTTCTGCCAGGCTTCCTTTTACCCGGCTCTGGCGTCTCCGTTCGCCACCAGGACCCGGGAGGCCCCTGTCCCCCGGCACTCTCCGGGGGCCGAGCCCCTGATTCTAAACAGACATCCCCACCCTCACCCAGTTCAGGTTGTCCGCACCTTTTCCCTAAGAGGAGATTAGGGGAGACCGAAGGGCAGACTCACCAGCCTCTGGAGCGCTCCCATCTGTCCGTTCTGGCGGAGCAAGCGACTTCGAATGCGGAGAACAGGCTGCCGCCGGGGGATTCATTGCGGGAGAGGCCAATCCGGCCTACGGCCCCGACGCACTCCCAAGTGAGGAACCACAGGGTCCAATGGGCTGGATTAATCTTTTATGTCTCAGGACTTCGCAGGCCCTGCATGGAATCCATGAGTTGGATAACACCAAACCGAAATCAGACTTGCTAAGGATGCTATTTGTGGTCATAGAAACTTAGACCTGAAAGTGACCTTAGGAAGTCATCTGAGCAAATACTGTGATAGACACACCAGAATGAATATTGCATTACCTCTACTGCTCATGCTTCGTTTTTGTTTCATTTTTGCTGCCCTGAATTTAAAAAAAAAAAATCTAAACACAATTTTTAAGGAAAATGCAATAAATAAAATATTAGCACTTGCTAGTTGCATGCTTTTTCTGCATCTATTGAGATGATCATGTTTTCTCTGTGAGCACAATTACATCTGTAGAGTTTCTCATTAGAAACCCTATCCTTGAATTCTTGGGTTAAATACAACTAGCTCATAATGTTGTAATTGTTGCTATTAACACATGGTTGGTTTCAATTGCTAATATTTTATTTAGGTAGATTTATTTTTTTTGAAACAACTATTGTGTTTTTCCCCCTCAAAAATTAGTAGAGAAGCAATGTGCTAATAACTGGTGGTGGGACAATTATCTATGGGGGAGGGGGAGCGCGAATGGATCTCTGCCTCACTCCACACAAAAAAAAGTATTCCAGGTGTACACAAACCTACTACAAAAAGCAAACTTTAAACATTTTAGAAGAAAATAAAGAATACTTTTATAACTTCAGGATAAATAAGGATAAGCCACATAGATTTCGCATGAAGATTTAAAATTGCTAAAATTAACACTATATGTTAAAAAAACACCATAAAAAGGTGAAGCTAAAAGCTACCAACTAGTGTCCTAGCTGGTATGGTTGCTTGGAGTGTCATCCATGCAACAAAGGGTTTCGGGTCCCATTCCAGTCAGGTTGTGGTTCACTCGCCTGGTCGGGGTTTCTCTCTCTCTCCCTCTCCCTTCCCCTCTCTCTAAAATCAGTTAAAAGAGAGAGAGACAAAAGCTACCAACTAGGAGAAGGTGTTCATAAGCATATGATCCCCAAAGTATTTGTAGTCAGAGTACATAAAGAATTCCTACATATCAATAAAGAAAAGAAAATGAGCAAAGGCTATGAACTGGGGATTTACAGAAGAGGAAACTGAATTGGCAGACAAACAAAAAACAATGAATAAAAAGCTGCTCACCCATTATTAGCAATCAGGAAATGCAAACTGAATCAGCAACAGTGTATTGGTTCACACTCAACAGGCTGGCAGTTTAATTCCCGAGATACCAAGGCGGTAAGAATCAGCTGGGACACTCTCATGGTTGCTGAAAGTAATTGGTGCAGCAACTCAGGAGCAACTGGGGCATGTCTAGTGAACTGAAGCTGCTAATACCTGACAGCCCAGCAATTCCCAAAGTGCCTTCCTGAGTTTGCCTTAGAGAAACTCCTAATCCCATGCTCAGGAACTCCTGTTCACAAATGCAGCGTTGTTTCGATCAGAAAACTGTTAACAACCCAAATGTCAATAGTCAGGAAAATGGAGACATAAACTGTGGTATACATTCCAAGGCTGCTCATTGGTGAAAAGCAATGAAGTAGAGGAACCATACCAACACAGGTAAACCATAATACTGTGTGAATAAAAATGCAGAAAATTTCATAGACTATGAAGCCTTTATATTAAGTTTGGAAATATACCAAACCAAGCCTTATGTCTTATATTGGGTAGGAATATATACATATGTAGTAAAAACTTGAGGGTGTGCATGGGATGATAAATACCAAATTCAGAACTGGGTTTAACATTCTGAGTCCAGGACCCTACCAGGCTGTATGTACCCCACTCAGGATCACTGCTATGAACATACCAGCTTACCCTCCCCTCTTCCTTGGTGCTCCCTGAAATTCCGCCTGGACACCTTGCTGGATCAGGGCCCCTGGTGCATGGGTTGCCTGTTAATTATTATCAAGTCAGGAAGCTCGAGGTTTCTCTTCCACAAATATTAACCTTGAGGATGTGAGAGTGATGGTTGTATTTGTGGACCCACTGTTAATTCTCTCAACCCTCAAGTGGGTGTCTTCAGCCTTCCTTACAGAGAAGTCCCTGAGACTCCACAAGGTCAAGGATGGGCTCTAGTCAACCTGCCCAACAACCCTGCTGGGAGTTGGAGCTGGTCTTTCTCAGATCTCCAAGTGCAGTAGGCATACCCTGCAGGTGAGGACCGAAGCCTGCCTAGCCCCAACAGCGCAGCCAAGCCACACAGCAGTTGGGAAGGTGCGGAACCAGCCCTGGGCTTCCGGCGTGGCGTTTGATTCTCACCAAGTCGCGGTTTCCCGGGTGAGAAGGTGGAGGTGCAGGTTAAGGGAGGGATGACCTGCTACCAGCTGCTCGGAGACTGCATGGCGCATGGCCAGTCCTGGGTGGTGACACCCCTCCCTCGCTGTGAGAGTCCACACCCCACGCTCCTTCCTACATGCTAAGGCCTCTCACTCTGCAGATGGGGAAACTGAGGCCCAGAGCGGCAGGGGTCTGCCCCTGGCACTCAACAGGAAGCGCGGCTCACACTAAAAAAACAATATAGCAAAGCGCCTGGCCCTGACTCCCACCGGGTC